AATTAGTGCAGACAATAGATAAAGAAGTGGTCCAGGGGCCGGCCCTGTGGCATAGCGGTTAAGTGCGCGCGCTCTGCTACTGGCAGCCTGGGTTCTGATCCCAGGTGCACACCAACGCACCACTTGTCAAGCCGTGCTGTGGCGGTGTCCCACATAAAGTGGAGGAAGATGGGCACGAATGTTAGCCCAGGGCCAGTCTTCCTCATCAAAAAGAGGAGGATTGGCATGGATGTTAGCTCAGGGCTGAGCTTCCTCACAAAAACAAAGAAAGAAACAAACAAAAAACAAACAAAACAAAACAAAAATAAGAAGTGGTCCAGGGCATGTCCATGTTAAGAAGCAAGGGAATTGAATAGGAACCAGCTAAAGAGACTGAGAAGGGCCAGTGAAATAGAAGGAAAACAATGAGAATGAGGTGTCCTGGAAACCAAGTGAAGAAAAGTGTTTTTAAGAGGAGAAAGTGATAAACTGTGTCTTGATGCCGATAGGTCAAGTAGTATGAATACCTAGAATTAACATTTGTACTTTGCAATGTGGTGGCCATGAGTGACCTAGACAAGAGCAGTTAGTGGAGGGAGAAGGGCAGAAATCTTGCTGGGCTCAGGAGAAGGGGGAGGAGAGGAATTAGAGGCAAGGAACGTAGGAAACAATTACTTTCCTTCATTTAACAATCACTTTTAAATAACAAAATAAACAGGACGTGTAACTAGATATTTTAAATGAATATCATTAAAATTCTTGAAAAGTGTTTCACAGTTGCTAAATAAGATGTGTGCTAATCCAAATACACTCAGGTGTGTTAATTATGGATTTAGTATGGTCCTGGGTAAAATAACACAGACCATTTATCAAGTCAAGGAAGTTTCTCTCTATTCTTAATTTAAGGTTTTATCATTTTTTTAAGTATGTTGATTATTTTCTGGTTTTTTTCCTGCATTAATTGAAATGGCCCTAAGATTTATCTGCTTTATTTGTGTTAGATTACATTGATAGGTTTTTCTAATGTTGAACCATCCTTTCATTCTTAAAATAAATCCTACTTGATCACATAGGGTTTTATTATTACTATTATTGTTTTTGTTTTATGCTTTTTAAAAATGTATTGTTTTATCATATTTTAGGTTTTTAAAATCCATATTTTACAGCAAGATTGATTTTTAGTTGTCTTGTATTATCATTGTCCAGTTTTGGTGTCAAGGTTATATCAGCCTGGTAAAATAAGTTGAGTAGTTTTAAACAGTTGACCTTTTTTTCTTAAGTAGTTGGCATATGAAAAGATTATCTGTTCCTTGAGGATTCAAGAAAGCTACCTTTAAAGGTGGCTGGGTTTGGTGTTTCTTTTAAGAAGGGGACAATTAATTACCAATTCAATTTCTTTGGTATTTATTAGCTTATACAGCTCTTCTATTTTTTGAGTCAGTTTTTGAACCTAAGTTCATTTAGTTTCTGGAAAATAATCCATTTTTATCTATGTTTTCAAATGTATTAGCATAAATAACTTTATTGTGATTTTTAAAAATTTCTATTATATCTGTAATTGTGCTACCTTTTTCATTCCTAATATTCTTTATGTCTTTTTTTGATCAGTTTTGCTATATATGTCTTTTTTAAGAACTGGCTTTTCATTTATCTATTTATTTTTTTGTGAGGAAAATCGGCCCTGAGCTAACATCTGCCAATCCTCCTCTTTTTGCTGAGGAAGACTGGCCCTGGACTAACATCCATGCCCATCTTCCTCCATTTTATATGGGACGCTGCCACAGCATGGCTTGACAAGTGGTTCGTTGGGGTGCACCCGGGATCTGAACCGGCGAATCCTGGGCCGCCGCAGCGGAGCGCGCACACTTAACTGCTTGCACCACCAGGCCGGCCTCAGAACCAGCTTATTATTTTGTTGATCATCTCTTTAGTTTCTTTATCAATTTCATTGAAACAAATTAATTTTATTTCCCTTCTTCTACTTTGTTTTCTCTTTTTTTGTCTTCTTAAATTGAAATTCTTCATATTGCATTGTATTGGGAAACACAAAACGTCAGCTTGTCCCACTATTAATGATGCTGAGCTTGATAATTTTGGTTAAGGTGATAACTGCCTGTTCTCTCCATTGTTAAAGGGCATTATTCCCTTCGCAATTACTAAGTAATCTGTAGGATAATACTTTGGTACTGTGAAAGTATTGTATTACCCAACATCATTTCACCTAATGAATTTTACAACCATTAATGATCTTTACCCTAATCAGTTGTTTCACTGAGAGTTGCTATGATTTTCTAATTCTATTATTCTTTCTACATGTATTAGCTAGTATTAGTCTATAAAGAAGAGTTTGCTTTTTTGTTGTACCCTCTTTTTATTTTTTTATTTTAGTTTTGCTTGTTTTCAAATTATTGTGAATTTTTGTTTTTTCATTTTATTATAATCAGTTACAGTGATTATTCTTCTTGATGCTCAAATTATCCCAAATGTGGTGAGTAGGAACCCCTTCAAGCTGGCCCTTGTGTCCTTTTGACAGGTCTCCATTCATCTTTGAGCACTTCCTTGCTTTCTGGCACAGGATGTTCTAGGCCTACTTTTTACTCTCCCTGCCCCAGGCTTGGAATTAGCCATTTATTAATGGCACCATCATGACTAAAAGCTGTCCAGTGTCTTTCTACTGTGCCATTTTTCTGTCTTTAGAGTTCAACATTTTTGCCATAATCAAGTTAATGTATTCCATTCTCCCATTTTCTAAGTTTTCATTGTTAAAATGGTTTTGTGGTGGACCACCTGGAAGGTGGGAAGGAGTGCTTCTTTTTTCCACTAATGGAGTGGTACTATACATGTAACCTTCTTAGAATTTAAAGTTAAAGCTCTCCTTAGCTCCATTAGGTAGTATATGTCCTTGAAACTAATAGTTTATAGTCTTAATACATAAGATACTTGGCTAAAGTGGATAGGTTTAGCTGCATACCCTAATGATAATGCTAGCTGGTGTTGTTAAAATACCCACTGGTTATTGTTGGGACAGAACTAAAACCACAAACAACTTGGAATACTTTATGAATATTATAGAAAATCTCAATTTCCCTGGGAGTAATTCCTTTTGAGGAATTATTTACAAAGCTCTTGAATTCTACTTTCATTTCATTAAGGCAGTTAAAAATCCTGTTGCTTTCAGGGTTATTTTGGTTCAAATAAGCTCACTTTATTTGGATTTTTGACACAGAAGAAAGTTAATCAGTATTGTAAAATAAATTTACAATAGAAGAGACAGGTATTGAGCAGAGCCCAGCTCTGTTGCCTTTGGCCCCGCGATGGCCGCGGCTCTCAGTAAGAATGGGTCTTTAAAAGTAACAGAGCCCAGCCTCCCAACCTAGAACATACCAGGAACTGCAAGGTGGTAGAAAGACCTACTCTTTGTAGCTATCGTGACTCTACTTCAAAAATTCTAATGGGAATTACAGAATAGATAAGCATATATCTAGAAATGAAAAGGCAGCTTGTATTGCTCAGTATAGTTTCAGGATAGATTTCTAGTGATCTGATTAGTATTTTGGATGATAGTAGGAAATTATTGATATAGATATTTTGCCTTACTACTCTAAAGATCAACTCTAAATTTTGTAGAAATGCTAAAACATAAATGAAAAAAAAATATGAGCCTCCAGTATTTAGATTTCAAATAATTACTCAAGCATATTAATTATATGATTGAAGTAGAGACTGAATGATGTAGACTACCATAACAACCATTGTTGCTAATTTAAATCTGATCCAAATCATAAAGCTTCTCAAAAAGTCTATAGGAAGAACTTTGTGAAAATGATTATTTTTCCATTTAATTTGTTTTGGTGATTTTTCTATTTTATTCTTTTATTTAATTTTAGATTGTAAACTCTTTGTGATATAAACTATATTTATAGCTTACATTCTCTACAGTGTTGGTAAAGTATCATGGACACACTTGTGAAATAAATATTTACCAGCTGTTGGAGGTCCTTACCAAAGGGCTTAATGCCCCTCTGGCACAAATCACTGTACAGTTGTCATCTTTGGCAGAAAGCTGATGTTGAAAATCTTGGCTAGAATTCTTTTGCTTAAACAAGGCAAAACTGTGCAGTGTTGAATTTTTGAACTCTTTTTTAATTTGACAACTGAGGTTTGCTTTATCCAAATGTTAATAATTCATATGGAATTTGCATGCTCAGCGGAGGTCAACTTAAGCCCTTAGTTTATTAGATATTCCCAATGAGACACTGAGTGCTTATTTAGCTTTCATCTATATCTCTACTCATGTTCATTACTTTTCCATTATTCTTCCTTGTTCTTCCTTTTATAAGGTGAATATATTATTTTTTCCTTAAACTCAAGAGAAGCTCGGTTTTATAAAGCATTAATTCACCTTTTGGTCTGATAAATCCCTCTATTTGAGGGATTCCTTATCCCCACATGAGAAGACGATTATGGCTAATGAAGATATAAAGTAGGACAAATTTCTTATCATAACTCTTTCTATGAATAAAATAATAGTGAACATTTATTAATAAAGATAATATCTTCCTCTCTCTTTGACATTTCCCTCCTTTTAGGAGGTATTTTAATACTTTATAGAACTCAGTAGACTTTTTTTTGTACCTCACACACCTGGCTATTAAATATGTAAACGTTGATAGGATTTCCTTTACTACTTAATTTTGTATAAACCTTTCCTATGGTATTTCTGAATGTTCTCCAAGCACTTCTTAGTACTTCTGCATCTTAAGGACTTATCTATTTAAATTAATAGTATAGCCATCAAGTATGCACCTTATTTTCTTTGTTTACATTTTTAAATGAAAAAGAGAAGATCATTTATTGAGCTTAAGAAACAACATTTAAAGTCCGTGAGGTGCATATTATTTCATAGGTATTAACCTAACATTGTAGTACTTGCATGAAAAGGAAATAAGAATTATCCTTAAAAAGCAAAGGTTTTTTTACTAGTTTGAAATATTATGATCATACTAATAAAACTTTTTCAGGATTTTCTGCCTATTAAACAAGAAAACGAAAAATCCCTTTCAGAAAATATGGATGCATTTGAAAAAGTGAGAACAAAATTAGAAACACAGCCACAAGAAGAATACGAAATCATCAATGCAGAGGTAGGATATCTTATGTCTTTTTTTAAAAAAAATCTGATATTACCAGTCAGGATACAAATGAAATACCTTGTGATTTATAGACATAATCCCACATCAAAATTAGACTGCGTTTGGCCTTTAAAATATGCTGAAAAATTTAAAGAACAAAGGATAAGCAGAGTGTGATCCTTAAAATAAATTGTAAGAATCAAAACCAAGATGAATTTCCAAGCACTTTATGTTAATTCTGGTTTTTAGAAACAACCAATTCTGTTTTCAAATTTCTTAAATAATTCTAAGGAGAAGTTCAAATGAAACTAAGTCAAATTTCTTTATTATTTGAAAAGTATTTGATTGTTCTATGTATACTTTTTTTAATAAAAGGAAATTCACTTTAAGTAGTGTAATACCATGAAAGCCAAGTATTTGTTTGACCGTTTTATGGTTACCAAAGCCATAAATATTGAGTTGAAACAGGCTGAACATGCATGTTGAAAATTTTTCCGTTAGAGTAGAAAACAGAACCACAGGGGCCGGCCCGGTGGCTTAGCGGTTAAGTGCGTGTGCTCCGCTACTGGCGGCCTGGGTTCAGATGCCGGGCGCGCACCGACGCACCGCTTCTCTGGCCATGCTGAGGCTGCGTCCCACATACAGCAACTAGAAGGATGACATACAACTGTCTACTGGGGCTTTGGGGGAAGAAAAAAGGAGGAGGATTGGCAATAGATGTTAGCTCAGAACCGGTCTTCCTCAGCAAAAAGAGGAGGATTAGCATGGATGTTAGCTTAGGGCTGATCTTCCTCACAAAAAAAAAAAAAAGAAAACAGAACCACAGCTTATAAATGAAAATCATGTACATAGTAGAATCAAAATAGCGATAGGTTAAGAATCAGAAATTCCAGATTCAAATTATGCCACTAACTACCAGGTAATAAATGTGGCTTAAGCTACCTGAAATCATATCAATCAATCAGTTACATTTAATGTGTAGGTATTAGACAAGAGCACTATTGATATGTTGGTAATATTCATTCTCTCAATCTCAAATTGTCTGTATTTGTCACACCACGGAGGATAAGATGCTTTGTGTGAAATCAAATCGGGACCATGAATAGTTGGTGGTGACAGCATATTTTAGAGGAAAGAATCTCGGAAAGTTACTGACTGGGTTTTCAGACTAGTCTGAGCCACCAGTCCTCTCATCTGCATGATTTTGAGTTATCTTAAAGATGCCCCATAGTGGGGTCAATTGAATCTCACTACAGATGTCAGATGTTGCCAAAAATATAGCTAAAGTGGTTTGTACAATCATGAGAACTGACATAGATTTTGTTATGCCATCTCTTTGTTGCCTCTTATATTTATGTATTAGGAACTCCTCCAGTGATAGAGAAAACCATGTCTTAACCACTATGTTGTAAAAAGTGATCCATTTTATATTTTTTATGTGTTAATTCATAGACTTCAACAGGTCTACTTTTTATAGATCTCATTTCTTCTTCATCTTGAATAGTCAGACCATTAAACAGTTAATTAAATTGTGTTTAAATGATTTATTATAATTATTAAATAAACCATTTGTTTCTTTTCATTGTCAGATTAAACATGGCGGTTTTGTTTATTATCAAGAAGGTTGTTGCTTGGTTCGTTCCAAAGATGAAGAAGGTACACCACAGTTTCTCCTTTTAACATACAGTCATGTGCCACTTAATGATGGGGCTATGTTCTGAGAAATATGTCATTAGGTGATTTCGTCATTTTGTGAACATCATAGAGTGTACTTACACAAACCTAGATAGTATAGCCTACTACACACCCAGGCTATATGATACTAATCTTATGGGACCACCGTCATATATGCGGTCCATTGTCGACTGAAACGTCAGTAGGCAGCACATGCTATACTCTGATTTTTCAGATTTCATATTTTTCATAGGAAATTTGATATTAACTTCTTAGAAGTATAGAAAGTATTTTTTTAGATTATTTCTGAGTTTTCTTATTTTTAAATGACTAGTTTTTAATATCTGGGTTTGCTTAAGATATAGTTAACAGCTGCACTCAAAAGCTTTGGCAGGGAGGAGAATGGAGATGGAAACCCACAGTTTTTGAGCATCTGCTGTATCCCAGGTACTGTGTTATGCACTTGACCTAGATTATTCAATGTCGTTTACATTCTCTTACTTTCTAGGTTCTGTATGGTCTGTAAATATTAGACTATAACTGTATCAAATAATATCACATAGGTTGATACATAGAATAATATCAAATAGCATAGGATAATATTAAATAACTAATGCCAATTTCTATGCAAATCAAACTGCCATCGATGCTGAAGGAAGCCAGAATATAGAGGGGGAATGCTAATTTAAAACATGGAAATAAACAGTTTACAAATTTTTTTAAGTACATCTTATGGAGTTATCTCTTTCATCCTTTGCTTTATGCAGCAGACAATGATAATTATGAAGTTTTGTTCAATTTGGAGGAACTTAAATTAGACCAGCCCTTCATTGATTGTATCAGAGTTGCTCCTGATGAAAAATATGTAGCCGCCAAAATAAGAACTGAAGATTCTGAAGCGTCTACCTGTATAATTGTGAAGCTCAGTGATCAGCCTGCAATGGAAGCTTCTTTCCCAAATGTGTCCAGTTTTGGTAAGCCACCAACCAAAACAGTCTTCTTTGTTGAAAGGGCAACAGTAAAAGAATTGTCCACACTTTTGAAACATTTTTACTTGTCCATGTGAGTGAATGAGAAGGTGAGTGCCTGATCCATTTATCCTGTGGACTCCACACCTCCCTGTGTGCCTCTTATTCAGGAGACTATCCCTTCTTTAATGATATATCCAAAATCATGTTCATGTTTTTAAAAGGATTATAATCAGAGTCCAAGTTGTATAGTGTATTTTGATATATCACTAATTCTTTGCTAATTTATTTAGAATACGTTTTTGCATATAAGTTGTATCTTAATATTTTATTCATCTTTAAGCTTGGGTATAACTTTTTAATTCTCTTGTCAAGCTATTACAGCAAATTGCCCAAAGTCACTACTGAGGAACTTCAGAACATGTTGAACTAACTGATTCATCAATAGAAGTTGTGATATTTTTACTAATAGAACCAACTTTAAATTTTATCATTTATCATTGATACATATATTCATACTTTATCCTCCCTTTTCATTTTCTTTCATAAATTTCTCCATTGTTTAAATGCTTTTGCAGTGAATTGAAATTATACCCTGTCTAGTTGATTCTAAGACATACATTTTGTACATTTTAACCTCTCTAAAATCAGGATGCATATTATACAAAGAAGTCTTACAGTCACTATCAGCCAGGTGACAGTCATGATGTAATTGTGTGAAAACTTCCATTGACAGTTTCTGGTAAAATCAAGAAAACACCAGCATTAAAGTGTATTTGGTAGTTTGAGATATCCTGTGGCTTGAAGGTGGACAGAAAACATTTAGGCATGAGAGAAAGTGATCCAGTATTTCTTCAGACTTAAAGTTAGAGGTTGTAGATTTAAACATAATTCATCTGAAAGCAAATATGTCTTTACCAAAGTCTTTCCTAAATATTGAACATTCACCTCTTATTATAGAAACTGAGTACCCTGAGACTGAAAACTTCTTGAAAACTTAGAATTGGTGTAGTAGTATTTTATTCTCTGGAAAGTTCTCTGGCTTATATATAACACAGGTTAGGTACAGTTGAACCTATGTTAGATTTAGATTTCCAGGATAAACTTGTATATCTCTTCTCTTTGGCACTCAGAATTAGAATGCACTGTGCCCTTTTTGTATTTAACAGTAAATAGATGGCTAGGTGTAATTCTTTAATTATTTTCTTTCAGAATGGGTAAAAGATGAAGAAGATGAAGATGTTTTATTCTACACCTTCCAGAGGAACCTTCGCTGTCATGATGTATATCGAGCCACTTTTGGTGATAACAAACGTAATGAACGTTTTTACACAGAAAAAGACCCAAGGTACTAGAATAATGCAATTAAATCTTTTCGTCCAGAGTATTTCTCCAGTTATCTAGAGTGCCGCTCTTGGTTGACTTAAAACGTTGATTTTGGCTTGAACCAGATATAATAAGGCTAGATTGAGCATGATCATTCTTTTTTAAGTTGTTTAGATTCAAAATTGGAGTCTAGTTACATTCAAACTCTAGAGTGAACACAAATACATCATTAGACTGCAAATGCTGTTACTAACATTCTGTCTGGACTGTGACACATGAGAGGAGTTGCTAATTAAACATTTAATAGGGTTGCCATACAGCAGTTATAAATCTCTTGTAAGTCATAACTAGAATAGCATGATGTCAGTTGCACAGAATTCACTACTCATTTCATGTAGATTATCTGAATTTTAAATTGCTTTGTTTTGAACCCTGATGTCCATTGGTCTTTAAATTTTACTTTCCCCAGTTCTTTGGTAATTCCTCCTTAAAGCTAATTTTCTTTACTGCCTTCTAATCTCTAGGACTCATGCTTCATATTACTGTTAACCAAGCTTGGGAGGAAATAACAGTAAATTTATCTGGCAAAATCCCTGAACTCTTACCCAGATATACTTTTCCAAATGACTTATGAGAAACAAATTTTTCCTTAACACCAGGGTCCTGGCACCTCCTATATCATTTAGCAGTGTAGTTTGGACAATTTCTGAGCAAATGAAAAAAAGGGAGTGGTGGGAGATTTAACAGCAAATCTATGACAGTGAAGTTGACACCCAAACAAGAAAATTAATCTTTCATTTCATAAAATCTCAGAGTTGACAAGGACCTTAAAGAAAATCTTGTACAACCCCTAGTTTATATTAAGAATTTGAGGTCTGGAAAAATTACATTATTCCAGCCCATAGAACTAACATTTTTGGTCCAGTAATGCTGTCATTGCTTTTTTTCCTGATTGTTTTAATGAGACATTACTAGAACTATTCATACGATTCCACTGTTTTATGTGCCATTTTTCAAGGATCTCTTTTGGAGATGATAGTTTAAGCTAGTCATTTGTTATGTTATATCGATGATTTATGATTATGAACCCTTTTCCGTCTTGTGAATAAAGCTCAAGATTAGCCTAGTGAGCTATACTCTTGAATAAGATACCTCCTTGCCATATGTTGTTACTGTCCTAAGTTCTAAGATTAAGTGAGTTATCGTATATATATTTCAGATTCTTGGAAAGTATTTGGCTTCTAGTATGCTTTTTCTGTCCTTTAAGGAATGAACCATAATTAAATATGTTGAAGTCTAGTTTGGCATTCAGAACCCTGATCTACAGCACAGACTAGTTTGTGGATTCTGAATACTTTTTCAACAGCCCCAAATCCAAAGGGAAGGACCAAAAGGGAAAAGCAGAATTTCTAAAGAGAAAACGGATTAAAGGTCTTCATAATCCTTCTAAGATGCTGAGCTACTTTTTACCGTGTTTGCTTTGATCCCCAGGTTTCAGTTTTCTGTTCACAAGTAAAGTTCACCAAAATGACTTTATGACTTGCATCTTTTTCTAATTCCTGGAGTTGTAAAGTTAGGTTGTTTATTTGAGATCTATTTTTTTTCTTAATTTAGGCATTTATTATTATAAACTTCTCTCTTAGAACTGCTTATTCTGCATCCTTTAAGTCTTGGTATGTTGTATTTTCATTTTCATTTATTTCCCTTTTGATTTCTTCTTTGACCCATTGGTTAAGAGTATAGCCAGCATATAGTTGGGTCTTTTTTTATCCATTCAGCCACTCTATGCCTTTTGATTGGAGAATTTAATCCATTTACATTTAGAGTAATTATTGATGGGTAAGGACTTACTAATGCCATCTTAGTAATGTTTTCTGGCTATTTTGTGGTTCCCATGCTCCTTTCTTCCCTTCTTACTGTCTTCTTTGTGAAGTGATGATTTTTTTATAGTAGTGTGGTTTGATTCCCTTCTCTTTATATTTTGTTATCTACAGTAGGTTTTTGCTTTGTGGTTACCATGACTTGTCTTCTCTTTCTGAGAAACCTGTTACTACAGAGCCACCTGTGTTCTCGCTTCCCTATAACCACATATTTGCCAAATAATTGACCAAGTAATTTATCTTTTGATTACCTGTGTCATCATCAGACAAAAATAAATAAATAGATACAAATCACAAAGAAAGTGTTGAAAATAGAGAGTGAAGTAGTGTGGGGGACTTGCCCTACAACCGTATATAAAGCTACAACAGTTAGAATAATACAAATTAACAGACAAATAATAGAGACCAGAATAGATAACTCTACAACAGGCCCTAGTATGTATAAAAACTTTATGGGTATTATTTTTAGATATGGTGGGAAATACTATTTGGATAAAAATAATTTTCATCACTTCATACATCAGCATACACTCCTAAAAGATTTAAATAATCTATTGATAAAAATAAAACCATTCAAAATAACTAGATGGAAATATAAATATTTCACTCAACTTTGTTGAAATATTTCCAGAGCATAAAATCAGTAGAAGAAATTACAAAGAGTAGTGTTGTGATTCTTGATTACCTAAAATATTAAACTCTTAAATCAGAAACCATTGTAAACAATTAAAATTCAGACGACAAAAGGTGGGAAAGTATTTACAACAAAAGGACAAGTTAATAGCCTTAATTTATAAAGAGATGTTTATTTATAGACCAGTAATTTAGACTATATCACCAAGATTAAAATGGACACAGACACATCACAGAAGAAATAACATTGACAAACATGGTAGTGTAAACTTGTACAGAAGGAATTTTACCAAAATGTTAGCCATGCTTATCTCTGAGTAGTGGAATTCAGGGTTATCATCTTTCTTTATATGTTTCAATATTTTCAGTGTGAATTACTTTTATAATAAGGAAATACATAAATATAACATTTAAAGCCATTCATTGTGTCACTGAATTAGCATAGTGCTCTTGGTATATTATTTGATTATATTTATCAAAAGTCATAAAAATAGGGGCCAGCCCGGTGGCACAAGCGGTTAAGTGCGCACGTTCCGCTGCGGCGGCCCGGGGTTCGCCAGTTTGGATCCCGGGTGCGCACCGACACACCGCTTGTTAAGCCATGCTGTGGCGGCGTCCCATATAAAGTAGAGGAAGATGGGCATGGATGTTAGCCCAGGGCCAGTCTTCCTCAGCA